ATTTGGAATCTTTTGATTCACCACATAATAACGATGCTTATGTTGGCAGCAATTTAGTGATCCATCTGATTAAGATAATAAATCTTGGTTGTTAACTATGATATTTGTTTCCAGCATCTCTAATATGTTTGTGAATGGTTTGGATATTGTCAAGTTTAGAGTTTTAGATTGCACACAGTTTTGGATTTTTTCTACTTTAAAGATAGAATTTGAAGTTGGAAAAAGCTTGGATTTGTGTGTTTATGATAGCAGTAGCTTATTAGTGTCAATGTGTTTTTCATCAGTACCTCGAGTTTGTGGTAGTTCAGGACAAGAGCAACATGCTTTTCTTGATTTTCAGTGTTTAGGGAGTAGGGAATTCTCCATGTAAACAGAATTGTGTCGTATTTCCAATTTCATTGCAGGTTTCACTAGAGTATTAATAACCATTAATCCTATATAGCTTTTCGTGAGATAGGGGTAAGATGCATTTGTTGATTTTCAGCTTTTAAGGAGTAGGGAATTCTCCATGTCAACAAAATTGTGTCGTGTTTTCAATTTCACTATAGGTTCCACCAGATTATTAATTATTAATAACCATTAATCCTATATATCTTTTTATGGGCTAGGGGTAAAATGTCTTCTTTTGGCTTAGAATGGTTGATCTCATATGCTGTCATTCCTTATGGAATATAGATTAGTTGTGTGTGCCTCCTGTGAATCTCCATTTTCCCAGATTAGTTGTGTTTGGCCAATGGGCCTGATTACTAACTTTGTTTCATGTAGCTTATTATTCTCTTACCAAACTATGCTGGCCAATGGGAGTAGCTACAAAAGTTTTATTGAAATATACAATTCTTGAACAATTTTTGAACTTATGATATGGTTAGTTTGGGGTTGGAATCATCTCCAAATCTTTTTAATTAAATTATAAAGTTTGGATCTTCGAACCTGCTTAGATTAACCAATTTACATGGTATACAGATTTTGCAATGAAATTTCCAGTTCAGATTAGTAGACAGATTAGGCAATTTGACAGGTTGAGAATGGTTAAGGATGCAGATCTTCATGGTTTCTTATATAAAACTTCTTTATAGTACTTGATTTGGAGGGTATGTCTTTATCAGTGTGTGATCTTACTCTGTATGTTTCTTTTAATGATTAGAGTGGTAGGTTTTTTTAATCTCCAGGTGGAAGGGTTTCACGCTAAGATAAATGATTTATTCATAAACACACAGTTTTGGCTGTCATTGTGAAATGAATATGGATTTGGAAATTAAAACAAACCAGGCTTTGTATGATTGGTTGAGCTTACTGCTTGGACTCCTTTTAACACCATTGCAGGTTTCATATATCTCATGGACCAAAAAAATTGATGCTTTTTGGACTAAGTAGTTTTTCAGAGTTATTGTAATTAAATGGAATTAGCAGTAATGAATTTGGCAGGGCTAAATATTCAGTAGTATACAGAAATAATAGTTATGGCGGGAATATGGAAATCAGAAAAATTGAATTCAAAAACCAATTAGTCCATTTTGCTGCACTTCCTGGGATCAAGGCCTCACCTCCACTACTTCCAAACAGAAGATGCGGTGGCAGTTAGCATCTCTCCCTCCTACTTTGGTGGCAGTAACTCTCTTTCCTGGGAGTATAAATAGACCATCATGTTGTAATTTTTTATCCCACATCAGAGAACTCTTCTTCGGAAATAAGAAGCATCTCATTTTTTTGTATCTATTTTGAGAAACAATATCATGGCTTTCCGTCCATTGGCTGACTTACGGGTTGAAGATGTTGACTGTAAAGTACGTGTTCGAGTGCTGCGGATGTGGGATGTCAAGCAAAATGGCTATGGAGAAAGTGTTCTTCGCAAGATGATGATTGTTGATGCTGCGGTAAGTGTCTCAATTTTAGCTTTTGGTTAGATCTGAATTTTTTGATGAATTTAATGTAGTTTTTTGTTTCTGTTTACAGGGTTATTAAATGGAAGTTGTTATTCATAGGATTTCATTTCCAAGGTTCGCTGGAATTATGAGGGAAGGCGTTGTATACAGCTTTGCTAACTTCTTGGTTCAAAGAAACACCACTGCCTTCTGTGTCACGGCACCAAATTTTTGCATTGTGCTTTTGCCCGACTCTGTTTGTGAAGAAATGGTGGATTCTGAAGTAATCCCCAAGTTTAGTTTCAGGTTTCTTAAGACTGATCAGTTCGAAGCTGCATTCCAGAATCATGACTACTTATCAGGTCTGCCATTTTATATTGTTTTGGTGATCTTAGCTTTTGTTCCTTTGCCTTGCATTACCTTTGTAACCTAAATATTTTCGTGTTTCAGATTTGGTTGGTCAATTGGTACAAAGTCAGCCTGCAGAACAGCTTGGTAATAATCAGGTTTCTATCAAGAAGAAAGACCTTCATATTCGGTTGACTGAGTGAGTAGCAATAGACCGAAAGTTTACATTTTAGCATTGCCTATGCTGTCTTTGACATGTAGTCATTTGGTTTGTGTTTTCTGTTGAGTAGTGGTGAAGTTGTGAAAGTTATTGTGTGGGACTCGATAGTTGACCAACTTGAGTTGTTTCTTGAGGATGAACTGAAACTGGAGCTGTCCTCATTTTGACCTCTGCTATTGTCCACAAGTACCATGGTTAGTTATTTAGTAGTTTTGTTATCACAAGATAAGTACCACATATTCAATTTTATATATTAAATCAAGTTTGATAATGTGGAACGAATTGCAGGGGAGTACTACTTTTCCAGTTCATGTGCTTCTAAACTCTATGGGAATTTGCACTATCCTGATGGTCATGACATGCTTGATTTGTATGTCTCCTATAAGATTCAATTCATTCCATTTGTTAGTAGTCATTTTAACATAGTTAATAATCACTTTTATTCCATTCGGCTGTACATTTTATAGCAGCGACAATGGTGTCCCCCGCAAGGTAGGTGAGATATGTCAGACTTTTATAGTCCCAAGTTCCATCAAGTTGCTGGAAGATTTGAATGTCGATGGTCCCCTCAAGGTTTTATTGAGATGCATTTTTCACATTTCAATTTGTGTAAGGTTTTTCAAGAGAAGTTGTGGTTTTTTATTTTATCTTCGTTCATCATTTATAGGGGGTGACCTACAAAGTTACAGCAGAGGTTTCTGAGGTCAATGCGTACTGGTCTGATCGCAAAAAAAGCTTCATGGTTGAGCTGAAAGTGAAAGATGAACATGACTCCTGTGATTTTATTTTCACCAGCAATAGTTTCAGATCGATGGCTAACTCCATTTTCAAGAATGACCTGCAGTTCGAGAGGTCAAGCTTTGAGGTGAATTTGAAGTCAATGAAAGGCAAGAAGTTTCAGTTCTTGGTGAAATCTGTTCCCAGTTTTTACAATCCTGAAGCAGTGCATCATGTGGTTGTCAAAATCAGCAGTGGCTAAGAGAAGACCAGGGAAGGATTGGGCAATCGTACTGTAAATAATTTCCAGTTTAGAATTTAGTTCATCGTTTTCAGTGTTTGTGTTCAGACACTGAGAATTTCAGTTCTTCGTATCAGTAGCTTGGTTATGAGTTTTTAGCTTTGTCCACGTTGACAGTTTCAATTTTAGATTTGTAAATAATTGGATATTAATCGTTTCTAGCTTTGTGGTTCGTGCTTTTGAGAATTTATTTTTTTACAAGGGTTCTCTGTTTTTTAGAACTGGTGAATTGTTTTGGCAATCGCTTTGCATTAGACGAATGGAAGGCTTACAAAGCCATCTGATAATTTTCTCTGACCCAACCATGAAGGCTGAGCCCAATAAGAAGAATAAGAAGAAGGCCCGTTTTATTTCTTTTGTTTGTTATGCTCTGAGGTGGTGTAGAGGAAACTTAATGGAATAAAACAAAATAATTTTAACTTTTATAAAACATGATGAAATGGATCCAATGAAATCAAGAACAAAATTCTGATTCCATAACTCACTGGGTTTTCATCGAGCATATTGAAGCAGATCTATAGAATGTTTTCTTACTCCAGCCCAGCCATTAGCAGTGTTCTTATATTCTGATGAAGAAAAAATTGTTTGGAATGGGCTTAGTGAAGCCCATCTTTATTTGGCAGCCCATCGTCAAGGGAGAAGAGGCTATTGATATTTCCCGATCGGATTTGTTTCAGTGAGGGAGAGGGCGTTCAAACCTAAATCCGCCGCACCATTGTTTGCTGTCAGTCTGTCTGCCGCACCAGAGTTCTGGCATCTACTCTCCGCCGCACGGATGTCTACCGGTGCTCCTTCCGCCGCAGCGATGGCCGCCGTCACGTCGTCTATAGCATAGCAGTATTTGGGTAAGTTTTGGAAGGGTTTATTAAGGGGGAGTCTTCTTCCTTCGATGTGCTGTTGATTTCCGATTTTCATTTGTTAAAATTTCAGGGGATTTCGTTAGTTATGCATCTGAAATTGTTATACTTGATGTAGAGGTCAATCACGAAATGCCTGATTGGATTGTTTGGGTTCGTATTGCACAGATGAGAATAATGAGGAGAACAGGCATGCTCTCCTTGAGCTCCTCTTCACCGTCCCTGGTGTGCTCCAGTACCTCATCGGAGTGATCCTCTTCGAGGAGACCCTCTACCAGAAGACTAAGTCAGGTATATAAGCTGTCCCTAGCTTGACATTTGGTTCTCTGATTACTATTAGAATTTATGGAGTGTTTGTTTTATCGAGTGGTGGTTTATCGGGGCAGCACAAGATTTTAACTTTTTTGTTCAATTTGCAGGGGAGTCACTTAGGTTTCATAGAAGTGGTATGCAGTTATCACCACTGTTATCGGCAAAATGAAAGGCCCTAAAGGAAGTGGCTGGCGACGATTATCGCCGATCTCTTTCGGCAGACGACAACCGCCTTTTTTGTATATTTGGGTGGTTACAGACGTGGGTAGGATGGTTTCACGGCTGGAGGAGCCTATAAAAGGACAAGTTCTTCCAGCAAACAAGAACCTTACCCTTACATCCATTCTCTTCCCCTTTTTCCCATAAGCAATTGAGAGAACAAGATGGCACCGCAGCTGCTGAAGGATCTCTCCACCAATTCCCGGAAATGGATCATTCAAACTCGGGTCTCTCAGAAGTGGATAGCTACAAACTGCAACACTGGAAAGCTTCTGCATATGGACTTGGTCCTCATCGATTCAGAGGTACAATTTCTTCAAACCAGTTTCATAGCTAACTCTACTATAACAACCCATCCCTTATGTATGTTTATTTCTGTTCTAGGGGTCAGATATTTGGGCTATGATTCCTCCATTTCTGATTCCAAAGTTTGAATCGACTCTGAAAGAGCAAGAGGTCTATGAGATTAGACATTTCAAGGTTGCTCTTACGAAGAACACATTCAGGCCAGTGCCCAATCGTTTGATGTTGGAGTTTCATTCGGCAACTTTGGTCCAACATGTGAAAAGGTATCCAAGCATACCGGCCTACAAGTTTTATTTTCTCAAGCACTCTGACATGATGCAGAGGCTATATGACAAGAAGAATTTATCGGGTAGGTGGTACTTTTGTTGGTGTTCATGTACAAACTGCCCTTTTTCAAATGTTAACTTTATCATGTTCTTCTATATTGCAGATGTGGTTGGCCAATTGGTTCAACATTCTGCAGTCACCTCCAAAATCTCAGCAACAAAACGTTGGAAATATATCACACTCAAATTGATTGAGTACGTAACTGGAATTCAGCTTTTTCACTTCATTGTTTTTGTTTATGCATCCTTCAGAATAGTTTTAATTTGCTCACTGTTTATTTAACGACAGAGGTGAGATGGTAAGGGTGACTTTGTGGGGAACTATTGGCAACCAAGTAGATGACATGGTCTCCCACAATGAAGGTCGACCAGTGAGAATGTTACTTCAGTTTTTGTTGACGAATATAAAGGTGATATTCAATCAAACCTTTTTCAGTTTAGTGGCTTCACAAATCTTTTGCAATAAACTAATACCACCATTTCTCTTATAATAGGGGAGCTTTGTCTATCGTCCACAGGGGCTATAGTTTTGAAGGCAAATCTGGATATACCAAAAGTGCAGAAGTTTAATTTGGGGTTTGTGCATTTAATAGCATTTTTTTCTGCATTCTAGGATGGCAGGTTGAATGCACCTGTCCTACTTGCTGAGGAACCAGCCCCTGAGGTTCAACAAATTTCCATAGCTCAGCTTAACGAATTCAAAACTATGGAAGGGAAGATTGTAAGTTTTTCTTTACACATCATAAAAATCATTTGAAATTTCTAATATAGCTATTACTGATTTAAACTTTCTGTAAATTTCAGGATCAAGTGTTTGCTGTTGAAGGTCAAGTCATTCAAGTACGATCCAATTGGTTTTACATGGGCTGTGTTGGCTGCCCTCGCAAAGTGGAAGAGGATTTGGATGAGTATTTTTGCGGACACTGCAATACCACCTCTAAAAGTGCAGCTGCCAAGTAAGTTTGCTAGCTACTGTCACAATGTTGAAATGTGTTTCTTTTGACCTTCAGTAGTATTGCTAGGATCATATTTGGTATAAGGTTGTTTTGATTATGAAGAATGAGTTCAGTAGTTTGCTTTTCATTTATAGGGGCTTTGTAAGCAAATTACAGTTCATATAGATTGTAATATATGTGATTTAATCAAAACAGAAATAGATTTAACTTGCAATGGGTTGCTTATACTTGGAGTTTCCAGTTGTTTTTAACACAATCAAATTATTATGTGGTTTGTGAAATGAAAGACGTTACAGCTTACTGTCATTTGCGTTTAACTGGTATTTGTGTCTTTATTCAAAAAAACAACAACAATTACCTTCGGACAACTACTACAATTGATAGAACAATCTAATAGCAAAGGAACAACATAATTTTGTTTGTCTTAGTTATGACAATTTGATAGGAAGATTGAACTTGAATCGTAGCTTCAGATTTAGACTTTACTCACGCATTATTTGTATTTGATTTTTAATCTAGGTATAGAGTGAAGCTTCAGCTGCAGGATGATTCTGGTGATGCTGACTTTGCAATTTTAGCGCGTGAAGGACTGCGTTTCTTTGGTGTTATGGCTGATGTTTTATTCCAAGGAAATCAAAGGAAGAAGGAACCAATTCCTCGGCAGATTGAGCAAGTTGTTAGCATGAAATTGAAAGTGCATGTTAAGCTAACCCAATTCAACTTCATCAACCCTCAAGCCGAGTATACTGTAGCTTGCATAGAACATGATCCTCTTGCGGTAATGACTACAGGTTCAGTGTCATTTTCATTTAGAGATAAGATTCATTCATTCCTTTCTCTTATTATTATAATAACTTTTGCAGCAAATCAGTGAGGAGTCAGTTGCATCCCAAACTTCATTTCCTGCCAACAGCCAGGAAATTAGCCCTGATTTGGTTGAAGCAAACTTAGAGGATAGCTCTGCAAGTTCTGAAGCTACCGAAGGGAATAACTTCAAGAGGCAGAAGAAGGCCCAAGTGGTTGATTCTGATGAGGAAGAGAAGTAGTGTTGGATTTTAGAAATTTCTATTATTACTAAGTTGTTCGCTGTATAACTTATGTGCAGCATTTTATTGCTCATTTATGAGTTCATTATGCATGCTTTATTTTATGAAATTTGTTATTGTATATTGTACATAATTTCTTTTGTCAGTTTCCAAAGACAATATGAATTTGAATGGGGAATAATATTGTCCTCATGTTCATTACATTAGTAGTTCATTATCCATGTATTTGGCAAAACTACCTAGGTTTTCTATTTTCCTTAGCAGCAGGTAATCTAAACTACAACTTTTAGAGAACATCATTTTGCAATTTCAGGGATTCTACTGTTGGAACCTATGGGAACTGAGTTGCTTCCTTCCCAGGTAGTTTATTCATTTCTTGGTTCTATACGTGAATGTTAAATCAACATCATCGAATTCCACCGGCCAACGGGCCGAGCCTGATGCTAGTGTTATTTAACTAAGGAGATGCAATAACCCTCAATCCATCGAGCCTACCATAGAATTTCCAATGTATATACACATACCATTGTTTGCTAAACTTAGCCAATGATTATTGGCTCATTTGTCAATGGTATTTAGTATTTCAATTCTATGCTTATAATTGTCAACCATTAGGGAAATTGTTAGCCAATAATTTTTGGTCATTCGCTTATAGCATTGAAAATGTCTTGTTACAAAACCATAGATAACAAATGTCAAATTTTATGTTTTGAAATAAAATTTTGTATAGCACTTTTGTAAACAATCCTTTTATTCGTACAAACTACAAAGTCGTGTAACCAAATAAATGTAAAAGTTGTAAGACATACATAAACTCAAAATGTACTATCTAATTCTTGGTGAAGAATTGTGTGATTAGATGAACTCACTTAGTTGATTCATAAAGCTAGGTATATCATGATGATTCACTTTGTAAATAATTACATTTATTAATTATCGATGATTGATTGTTGCGGTGGATAGTCCTATGATTTTGATATATTTTAATATTTTCTCTCTTTAATTCAAAAAGTACATAACATTGTTGTAGTATAGTTGGTTAGGGATATTGACTATCAATTTGAAGGATTCGAGTTCAAGTCTTTGTAATGACATTTTTTTTCTCATATCTCCTGAAGTATTGCTATATATTATAGAGGAATTGCGTAGATTGAGAGGGAGCAAAAATGGGGTATGGGTTTTCGAGAGTGGAGGGGATGAAAGGTTATTGGTCATACCTGAATCGCCACCATAGTTAGAGGCGGCTCTTTATATATCTGCCTCTAAAACTTAATATCCGGCGACAATTATATTGTTTGCCCCTAAATGGATCATCATTTGCCTCTAATTAATTTTTTCATTAAAAAAATTTATAATGTTGTTGTTGGAGGCAGATATCATATCTGCCGCTGATTTTCAGTAAACTCATTTGAATAAAATAGAATTAAGGACACCAGTATTAGCCGGTAAAAATAAATTAGGATTAAATTTCAAATACAATAATTTAACATCTACTAGTACTACGAAAAGTAAGGCTTTATTAGTTTTTTTTTTTGTGTGTGGAATAAGGCTTTATTAGTTTATTAACTTGAAAAGGGACTTTAATATTTTCTATAAAAATAAGGGAATTTAATTATATTTAATCATAGGGATTTTTCGACCCTTCGGATTCATAGTTCCATCCTCTGAGCTCTATTCAGTTTCAGTTCTTGTCTTTCCCAAAGTTTGCCGTCGAGCCTTCCCCTCGCAACTTTTATTTCCTTCTCAACATGACAATTGACAATTCCCTTTCACCGCCATCAAGATCCTCACTGTGTTTTCTTCTGATTCCTATAGAGTTCTTCCATGAAGTACCTTCCCGGTGGTACTACTCGCCGTCTTCTTCAAGTCCTTTATGATACCTCAGAATCATCAATCTAGTTGCAATTTTCTTCAATTTTAGGGTTTTATTTGCTCCGTTCACTTCCCTTCAAACTTACTGCATTCTTATGTAGTTCCACTAGATCTCGAGGATTGAGATTTCTTTTAAAGGGCACAATTAGGTTTTCCAATGACAATGAATGCGGGTGCCAGCAGAATGAGACCAAGGTTCTGATTTTGTCAGTGACAGTGAATTTCAAGGTGTAGATGTATCGATTTATGATATGAAGGTATGATCCTTGCAAATCCTTTCGTTCTACAATTCTTTCATTGGTTGTTTTTTAATTAAAGCCTTATAATTGATTCATGGCTCCATGGTAAATTCTTTTGATTCTTGTTCTTATGTAGTTATGTCTTCTTCTCAAAGATAACAACATGCAACATTGTCATTGGAATGATGTAGTTATGTCTTCCATCTTATGTAGTTATGTCTTCTTCCAAAGATAATCACATGATTAAGGTAATGTTAATTCCATCAGGAATGATTGATCGTGTTTGCTGCATGTTATTATCTTTGAGATTTAGGTTCGATGGGCTCTTTAGGAAGTTCATACTCGTAGCAGTTTTCAAGGATGTTGGCAGAATAACAACTGTAATGAACAGAATACCTACTAGCTACTTATTCGATTGTGGCATGCTCTCTATTCTCGCCACTTCTCATACAATTGTTTGCAAGATTATAATCAAGTTAGTGGGAAGTTTGGTGTCTATGTGTGTGCTTTGATTTCATGCTACAACCTATTTGCTTAGTTGCATCAGCACTAGGAATGTCCATATGGTGATTAGCAAGAGTCTTTAGTTTGATTTTGTTTAGCTTGGTCAAAACCCAGAGCATCAAAGAAGGAGTTCATACTGCTTCTAGTGGGTTGAGTTCTTTTGTTGATAAGAATACCTCTCCCCTTGTGTAGACATATTGGTCAGGCCATCCTCAGCCACAACACCAAATGTCTCCCCAACACTCTCATGTGCTAGACAATCCGCATCTTCCAGGACCAAACCATTCCACAGCTTCACCCCAATAAGCATATCCTTGTTGCTGAAGAAAGGCAGATGCAACAACGATTTCTTCAACAAATGCAGCAACATCAACAATCGACTACATTTGTCACCCTCATGCCACATGTCCAATCTCAATTGCAGCTTCCCATGTCATTGCCAATGCAAAACACTCCCTCGATTTTGCAACAAACATCACGCAACCAGTTCCATTAACAGTCATCCCCGACTTCAGTGCAGCAACAGAAAGTCAATCTAAAAGTCAATCTAACCATCCATCATGGGCTGAACAGTAACCTACATGGTGTTACGAGTAGTCAATCAGGTAACTCCAACACCAGGTATTTCATGTATAAAGATTAAATATATTCTACAAGAGCATATTCTACTGACCTTGATGTTCTTATATGGACCGTTGTAGCTTAATACATCAACTTCGCTCAACTTATTATCTTCTGAAATATAAAATTTTGCCTATGACTATGAGTTATGACTACTAATCATATCTATCTCCAACTAATCTTATTCTTTCCTTTCTACTTCTCATTGTCATTTAGTTGTCTTAGTCTACTTATGCAATAGGCATACTATATCTTTCATGTCATCGAGTTCATGGGATAATTGTTGATTATAGGTATGAGGATGCTTTTGATAATTTTGCAGATTGTAGATAAATCATTAAAGCAACAGAGCTCCAACTTTCAATGTGCGTGTCACAAAAGCATGTTGGTATTTGTGAAGTTCATCAGGAAGATGAGCAGCTTTCAGTTATTGTAAACAAAAGCACAATTTGATACTTAGCAACTCCAATATTTTTGAAGTTTTGTTATGTTTTAGTTCTCATTTCCCAGTTGAGACCTTTCGTCCAGTTAGCCACAGTGTACTATAAATACTTATTGTAAATTTTTTATATATCAAAATAGCATAAAAATTATCTACGTTAATAATTTGTATGTTCTTCGTCAATTTTATTTAGTTATGGTGGAGATCTAAATAAAATATTTAATGCTAAACATGGAAATAAAAGAAAAGAGTCATGATATTTTGAGGCGAATAAAGCGACAAATATATTAGTGGGAGAAAAGAACGTTGCTGGCAATTATTTGTCACTCAATCTCACAAATAGCGACTCATGTGTATTCCTTTGGGCAAATTATTAGGGGCATAGATATATTTACTTATGGAGGCACATTTATTTTCCTTCAAACTTGTAATTGGCAGCTCATGCATATCTGTCGTTAGATCCTTGCATTCTGCCGCAAATTTTTTTACCGGCTGGAGCATTGGCTGCACATAATTATGTGCCTTTAAATAGTTATAGCAGCAAATATATGAGTTATGGAGGCAAATGGTCGTTGTCTCTAATCCTTATTTTTCTTGTAGTTAATGGACCACAATAGCTATTAATTTGTGAGAAAGAGCAGCGACGAACTGGAACCAGAGAAGCCACGAGCAGCAGCCATTAACTCCTAAACCCAATAAATTTGAAGCTTATTAATTTCTGCCTCAAAAAATTGACAACAATCACTATTGATTTCATAGGGAAAGGAGCGCGAACAGAGAGAAATTGGAGCACCGGAGAGGGAACATAATGGTTGGCATTGGAGGTATTGCGATTTTACTAGAGCGGATCTTTTAGCCACAGCGAAAGAGAAGGATTCATTCATTTTTATGAGTTTGTCCCTCAACATTGGAAGGAGCACTTCTACTATGCTATATAGTATTGGTGCTTTAATGTACACCTTAAAGTTATATCATAACATCAAATGTATAAGTTTATGTTGTATCATAAAGCAATTTGTACCATTATGTGATGATACAACTTCAAATTGTACCATAAAAGAATTTGTACAAAAGTATAGGTACAATCTGAAGTTGTATCATAACGTAAATGTACAATTTTAAGTTGTACTATAAAGGCAAACCCCTATAGCACCAATACTATATAGCATTGTAAAATTTCTCCATTGGAAGTATTGGGATTTTACCGGAGCGGGTTTTTTAATCAGAACGAATGAGAAGGATTCATTTTAGGCAAAATACACTTCCATAAGCCATAGCCATAACTTTACACTGAACTTAAGATATACGCAATCATCTCTAAC